CTCAATAGTGACCAGATTATCGCAGGCTGCGCAGAAAAGAAGACCGAGGACCTGATGAAAAAAGTGACCCAGGCGTGTGACGCCAGTATGTCTCGTAGACGTAGCATGAACACAAGACCTTCTGTTCACTGGTGGAACGACCATATCAGCGCCCATCGTAAAGAGTGTCATCAGAAGAGAAGAATATCCCAGCGTGGCTACCGACGAACTAACTCTGTGGAACAGGTTGCAGAGTACAAAAAGGCGCGCCGTGAACTGAATAAAGCCATCAAAGAGAGCAAAAGAAGATGCTGCAAAGAGCTTATATACGAAGTGGATAAAGACGTGTGGGGTAGGCCTTGTAAGGTGGTTATCACCCACCTGAAAAAACAACAAATCCCATTACCTACGTGTCCGCAACTTCTTCAGAAAATCGTCACTGCACTGTTTCCACAGCGACGCAACTTCGATTACCAGTTGGCGCCAGGCGAATTGGACGACATCCCACCTGTCACTGAAGAAGAATTGCTGGAGGCTTGTAACCGTGTAGGGAATAATAAAGCGCCGGGATTGGACGGAATCCTTAATTTAGCCTTAAAAACCATCATAAAGGCAGCTCCAACATTATTCCTAGACGCTTATAATGCATGCCTCAAGGAGGGGACTTTTCTTCGTAAGTGGAAACAGCAACGATTGGTACTGTTACCTAAAGGGAAGAAGCCACCAGAAGAACCGTCATCTTACCGACCACTTTGCATGCTAGATACGGCGGGTAAGATATTTGAGCGCATAATTCATCAATGAATAAATGCAGTAGTCGACCCACTCCTGGCAGACAATCAGTATGGATTCCGGAAAGGACGATCAACCCTGGACGCAATCAAACTGGTTGTTGATACGGCCAAGGAAGCAATCGCAGGAACCAGATGGAAGGGTGGAATGAAAGAGTATTGCCTGGTGGCAACCCTAGATATCAGAAACGCATTCAACTCCGCCAATTGGGAATGCATCATGCAGGCCCTCCAAGAGAAGAATGTACCAGAATACCTTCTTAAGATCGTAACAAGCTACTTTGAAAATAGGGTTTTGAAGTATGACACGAAGAACGGTCCGAGGGAGTATGATATTACTGGAGGTGTACCACAAGGTTCAGTTCTAGGCCCGCTCCTATGGAATATTATGTATGACGGTCTATTAAGACTAACTCTGCCAAGAAACGTCAAACTCGTAGCATATGCAGATGACGTAGCCGTAGTGATTGTTGCCAAACACCTTGACGAGATAAACCATATGTTTGATCTCACTTTTGAGCGCGTTAACCGGTGGATGGACGCAGTGATCCTGCAACTGGCGCAACACAAGACTGAGACAGTGCTTATTACCAGCAGAAAAGTGGTAGAGACCATTAAGGTGAAAGTCGGCAAACAAGAAATCACATCACAACCTTATATCCGATATTTGGGAGTGATGCTTGATGTCCGACTTAACTTTAAGCAGCAAGTGGAGCATGTCAGTGCCAAAGCATCAGTAGTGAGGGCTAGTCTAGCATGACTGATGCCGAACGTCGGAGGCCCAAAGCAGAGCAGGAGGCTATTACTGTCATCAGTAGTCACATTGGTGCTCACTTACGGAATATCCATTTGGGCCGACGCACTAAAGACGCAAGAATCATGGAGAAAGGCTGGACCAGTATATCGACTGAGTGCCCTACGAGTAGCTAGCGCCTTTCGCACAATATCAGAGGATGCAGTGTGTGATTTCCAGTACTCTGCCTCTCAGAGTCCTAGCTGAGGAAAGACGGAACCTATATCAGCGAAAAAGGTCAACCACACTGAGCCCTGAAGTACTTAGAAGCGAAGAACGGCAACACAGCATCGCAAGATGGCAGCAAGAGTGGAACGCTTCAGATAAGGGTCGGTGCACGTACCGTCTCATACCTCGGATTGATGAGTGGTTCAACCGGAATCACGGTTAGATCAACTATTACTTAACGCAGATGTTATCAGGACACGGATGTTACAGGAAGTATCTCCACCGCTTTAAGCATGACGATACCCCAGAGTGCCCGTCCTGTCCAGGGGTCAATGAAGATGCGGAGCATGTCTTCTTTGTGTGCCCACGTTTCAACCAACAGCGCAAAGAGTTAGAGAAGATTCTGAAGAAGAGAACCCAACCAGAGTCAATAGTAGAGGCAATGTTGTCAGAAGTTGCCTGGAACGCCACAAGCATTTTTGCTACAAAAGTGCTTACCGAGTTGCGATCCATTGAGAGGAAAAGAGCGAAAGACCGAATCTAGAAGGAAGAAATAACATCTTAGCCACCAGAAGGAAGAGCGGCAGCTAATTCCTCCCCCCGCGAAGAAATGCCTTACGGTGGTACCATGGGGGATCAGAGGATAAAAGAGAAAGGGGTTTAGGGTTTAGTGGGTAGGGGCGTCAGCGTCGAGTTTTAGTATGACGCTGCGTCGAGTCGCCACATATCCGGGCCAACATCTATGCCTAGAATTCGTAAAAAGGATTCCCCTCCCCCCCAAAAAAAAAAAAAAAATAAAAACTCACACACACACACATACAGACATAGTGACACCCTCGCGGGAATAGTCAGGGAAGTTTCCTTGAACCATATGTATTTTCTGACTCAGCTCGTCGAGTTAAGTCGGAATATAGCAAAATTTTTTAAAAGTTTCGTTATGAGGACCATTGCAATAGTTAGATTTCTATGAAATCTACTAAAAAAAAAATTGATTAATTAAAACATTACTTAAGACATTACCACAAACAAAATTCAACGATATTTATATTTGATTGCTTAAAAAAAATGAAATTATAACTTCGTCTCTTATGCACTGTTAAATTACAATCATATTACAAAACAAATGATATGTAAAATTAAAAATCAGTGTATAGCAATGCGAAATAAAATACAATTCATGTATTTTTCCAACACCTGTCAGGAAATCTACTAAGATGTATTGTATTTTTACAATTTTCTTGTATAAATCTAACACGCATTGTAATATTACAGAACTGTTCGTCAATATTCAAGAAAAAGCTTTTTAATTTTGCAAAAATGAGACTGATGTATAAAAAAACAACAATGTCCTTCATATTTATTTTTACTAATTTTTAGTCTATGGTTGTTTATTTGTAATAATAAATTCGAGTCATAATTTATCTTTTATAAATTTTAATATTATGCTCAAACGATCATTTCGAAATCAATATATTCGAATGAGTATATGTTACACTTTTCTATCAATAAACAGCATAAAATAAAACAATTAATGTAAATTATAAATAATACGACATAATGCTCAATCACCACATAGGATTAGCTTATAAGAATACTAAGATGTTGAATAACCTTTGGGTCGTACGGCGTTGGGCGTTAGGTATCGGTCTGGCAAGCGCGCGGCTCGGGTTCGATTCTTAGTTAGGGTATATATTATTTTCACTTTAAATCATCTGAGTTGAACAAATTAGGTCTACGTGAGATACCAAATCTAGTCAGCGCTTCATAACAATAAAATGACAACAGATATTAAATCAAATCTTTCTTTTTTATTATTTCAATTCAAGTAAAATTCAAGGAAAGTATTGTAATTTTACAAACTTAGCTAATCTAAAAATATTTGTAAAATTACAAAACCGTTTTGTAAAATTAGTAATCTCACTGAGCTATATCTGTTTTGTAATTTTACTATACCCGATTGTAATTTTAAATAAATGTTTTGCCTATTAGTTTTCAATACATTTCTTGTAAAATTACAATAGAAATTTTTAACAGTGTAGCCTCAATAATTGGGGCTTTTACCTTATATAAATTGATAAACATAAATGTATGAAAAATGAATTTAAAATTTTTAAATATTCTTACAGAATTCAAAAAATGTTTGGCTACCGTTCCCAAACTAATCAATCGATATTGCTTACCTTTGAACTTATTCAAGGTATTTACCCAAATAATAAGTGTGTAAAGTTCATTAAGTTTCATCCTTTTGAAATTACGGCCCTTATAGTAATGACAATTAGTCAGTCTTGATAATTTTAGTAGTTTTTTCGGGATTTCTCAATATCTACCGGTCCGAATCAATTAAAGTCAGCATCAACTCATGCTCGTTTAGCCATGCGCTGATGAAGGCTGCAACAAGCCTTACTAATCCTTGCGCTTCGCTTTTGTTCCGTGCAAGTATTAGTGCTGCCAAATCGTCAGCAAAACTCTCCAGCTTTACTTCCTGCGGTAAATCTAGTCGCAGAAGTGCATCATAGAGGATAACCCAGAGTTCTGATGCGAGGACTGAACCCTGAGCTGCTCCTCCACTCAGCTCCTTTATGACCTGTCCTGCAGTAGTCATATACATAAAGTAACGATCATTCAAATAATCATTAATGATGCGAATGAGATACTCCGATAGACCTAATTTCCGAAGCACTTTCATTATATCCGACCATATGACCGAATTAAATGTATTTTTGACGTTAAACGTCATCATATTGCATATTGGACAGAAACGATGGTTTCCCGACCATGTTTGTTGTGAAAATAAATGCGCTTCTAAAATGGTACCAATTGTACTGCGACTCGCGCGAAAGCCATGTTGATTTTCAGCTAGGCCACCTACCAGCATCGTTCACTTCTTTTCGCAGTCGATTTCGTATGAGGTCTTCGAAAATCTTTCCTGCGGCATCTAAAATACACAGTGGACTATAAGACGAAGGCGTATAGGGTGGACCCTTACCTTTGACTAACAGAACCAACCGTTGCAGTTTCCATCTCTTCGGAAAGACTCTAGCCGAGATGCAGGCGTTGTAAGTATCAAAGAGCAGTTGTTCATGATTTTTAACAAGGACCTTATAAGCCTCGATGGAGATACCGTCGGGACCCGGGACCTTTTCTGCCTTCAGGGACTTAACAACTGCCCGCAGCTCAACTGCTGTGAAAAGTGGGGACTCGTCATCGGATGTTACACTTTTAGTGCATACCCGTTCTACATAATCAGAAAACGGAGTTCGGACTATTTCCTACATCCTATCGGGTTCCATATAAGCTACTAAACCAAGACCTACAAATTTAAGAGTGATGATTAGGTAGTCGTTGCCCCATAGATCATCATCTACTTCTCTGCAGATCACCTTCCAGCACTTCCCTTTGCTCGCCTTGATCTGCGTGACGAGTCGCTTCTTCGCCGCTTTGTGCTTGGCGTTTTTTTGCTGCCCCAACCTCTTCGACCGTCGAGGCGGCGTCCATCCCGCCTCTCTTTCCCAACAGTCGCTGGATGACGACGACAAGCAGCCCGTCTGAGCACTGCCAGCCACCGGTAACGGGGTATCGCTTTGTTTCAGAATTTTATTCTCAATCTACATTATTTTATATTTCTTTTTTTGAGTTTTCGTTTATGGTCCCACCCAAAGCCAATCCCAGGAGAAGTAGTAACCAATACAACAAATTCAAAAACGTGAAAAATAGAGATAAAGGTCCTAAAAATATGAGCGATAGCTCATTCGATTCGGAATCATCTCTAAAAAAGAGTTTTTAAAGGATTTTGGTGCAGGTTAGAAATTGCAATTGTTATTAACAAAATAAGATGAAAAAAAAATGATATTTCGTTTTTTGTAAATAACTCGAAAAATATTAACATTTAAGCAATTTTGAAAAAAGCTCGGTAAAGAAGAGGAAATTTCCAATAAAAAAGTCCTTACTCCCGGAATTCTTTCTCCATTATTTATAATTTTAATTAGACGTTGAAAATAGGGCTCTGCGCGGCAGTTACAGCATGCGCCTGCCGCCGCTAAAGAGAGTTCAGCAATAAAAATAATTTGTTTATAACATAAAATGTGATTTTAAAAATTGAAAAAATTCTAATATCTTCTTAACACTTCAAAGAATTGAGCCCTCAAGGAAAAAAAGTTTAATCACTATTTTTCAAAAAGTTATTCAATTGTTAACTAACCAATTTTTTCTCAATCTCCATTGGCATAAACAATAGGATGAATGGTATAAATAATTAACCTATAAATTTTAAACTTCGTGGAGCCCTTTTGATATATGTACTTTATAAGATCCTGCGGTTTATTTTCATTAAAGTTTATTAATTTGTTAATTATGATTTTTTATAACTATTGAAAAATTAAAAATCTAAAAAATGTTGATAAAAAATTTTATTTTAAATTAATATTTAGCTATGCCAGTTTTCACATTAAACAATGGCAGTTATTGACATGAGTTATAAATTTTTTCGGTAATTTGTTTATAAAATTGTTATAAACAAATGGAGAAATTCAATATTTTAGAAAATTTTTTTTTGCAATTTTGTTGTTTACAAAAAATTATGATTTTAAAAAAAAAATTTTTTTTTTAATTTTAATTTTTGATTTAGTCCATCGGCTGAAGAGGGAAGCCCGTGTACATTTTATGTCCATGGGAAATTCCAACGAATTCTTACGTATTTTGGGTCGGGGATTACGAATATCGTATTTAATTTTATGGAAAATGGTGCAAACAATTGTTATTAACAATTTAATTGTTTAAACCGGTATAACTCAGGAACGGCTGATTTGACGGGGAAGTTTATTTGAAAAAAAGTGTTTAAAATTAAAAAACCAATAAAAAATGTTCTTATCGATTTTTTGATAAAGTGAATATTTTCGAAGATATCGCAAAAAACGATGAATAGCGGTAGGACCTCTCTGTCGCGCGCACGCGTCCCGTGGACTCAATCGGCAAACGACGAGTAAAAATAAAATACAAAGACGACAAAAAATTAGAAGCTCGGTGTAGACAAGAGATTAAGAAAAAAAACTAATAAGAGTCATAAAGGAGACTCTACATAAGATATCTAGACACATTATAAATCGATCCACCCCATAGACACAGAGAAACAGCCCCATAAGTGGCTATTTTTAGCTAATTTTAGCGGAATTTAAGCTTTAAAAATTCAATCCTCAGTGTCCAGCTGAGATTAAGGAATAAAACTCATGGGAATCTTCCAAAATGCTATACAGAAGATTCCAAGACCCATAATCGATAGATTAACCCCATAGACACCGAGTAACAGCCCTATAAAAGAGGGTTTATTAAAAAAATTGAGGGAATTTCGACTTTATAAAAATCAGTCCTCGGTGTCCATCGAAGATTAACGAATAAAACTCATGAGAATCTTCTTGAACACTATCCAGAAGATTCCCAGACCCATAATTAAAAGATTAACCCCATGGACACCGAGTAACAGCCCCAAAAAAGGGG